CAGGGTGAGGGGTGAAGAAAGAGGGGTTACGGTTAAGTCCAACACGAAAAACGTTGCCAATGGTGAAACCCGAAAATGTAGGTGAGCTGTCAGGGTTAAGCCGCGCAATGGTTGCGACCTCGCGCGTCACGATGAATGCATTGAGGCGGTCACGAACGAGAAAAAATTCACTCACGGGCTAACTCACGATTCAACTTTTTCCAACGACGTATAAAGAAACATTTCGACGCCACCTTTTTCCTTTTTTCTTTCTTTCTTTTTTTTTTCTTTCTTCTTCTATTTTATTTTTCTTTTTTTTCTTTCTTTTCAAATTTTTTGAAACTCCGTGTAATCTAATATTGTGGAGAATTATAGCAAAATAAAAGAAGGAATTCAGAGTTGGACGAGTTTTATTTTTTTTTTTTTTTATTTTTTCGATTTTGTATTTTTCTTTAGATTTATTAATTCATAATTGGGATTTATTAATCATAAAGGTTTGATATTGTCAGGATTTTAGTTTGAGTGTTTTATATGCACATCATTTTTTTATTTATTAAGTTATAGATACTTAACGATTTCGTTTTCGTAAATTTTCTATATTGATTCAATTTTTAATTCATTCGACAACGTTTTGTTTGAACGTGATATAAATGATTTATTTGATTTGCTCTACATCGAGGTATTCCATTATACTCCTTTTTAATAATTTCAATTTAATTTGGAAATAATAGAACTTTCATGATTAAATTTTGTGCGTTCATTTCTGAAAGTATCATATTAAAAAAAAGAAAAAAAAAATAAATTTCATTCGAAGATTTGATCATACCTAAACACTTAACAACAATATCCTGTTGTCTCGATCAAATTTCGATATATTAAAATCAATCGATATTTTTCTTATCGACCTTTCGAACAAGTACAATACAAAAAGATTGAAATTTCTCTGACGTTCGAGGTGAATTGATGAGATTATAAGAAAGGTCCATTAATTGAACGACAGCTAGCGTTTGCATTCCTGCAAATTGGATTGCCTTTCACTACTCCTGCCGCTTACCACGGATATCGATTATACACGTAATAGTGAGTAATATAGTAGCTCGTACGACGAGAGTCAGAACTCTTTCAATCGGCCAAGTTTTTCAACCAGATTTACTTTCGATTTTCTCTTATTCGTTTCTTTGGTGATTAATATTATAGAAATGCCTAGCTCTCCTTTGATAACATTTTATAAATCGATGTATACTTATATGTGTGAATTTGAATGATTGATTAAATTTACACGTGTGTGTATATAAATGTGAGAGATAGAATGATAGTGAATTTACGTACACACAGGCACATAGAAATATACACATACAGATATATACGGAGACGTCTAGTTATCTTTCGATAACATTTTATACGTCGATGTATACTTGTATATGTGAATTTAAATGATTGAGTGATAGTGGATTTATGTATATTTATATATATACATATACACATAAATATATCTACATAATGAATTTTATAAATACATAACAAACAAAATGAACAATAGTAATAATAAATATAACATGTTAATATCTCATTGATTGATCGATAATGTTTCAAAATAAAATATTCATCAACCAATTTGTATCAGAAATTTCAAACATATTTCTTTAAAAATATATACACAATATGCATATACCGTGACATTTCTATTAATGAAATACAATTTATAAATAAATTGCAGCTATCTATAAATAACGAATAAGTATATAAATACGAAACGGTACAACGAAGATCGTAAACATTTTGAATAAATTCTAAATTATGTTTGTATAATAATATGAGAAATTAGTAATTGAAAAATGTTTAAATAGACAAGTACAAATATTTTACCCATGATATTATAAGAACGAATGATGGAAATGAAATAGTCGTTGATTAATAAATCTATTTATAATTAAAAAATTAGTATTAATAATAATGGAGTACTTTCAATAATGGAGTAAACGTGGTCATAAATTTCTGAGATGATAAACATTTGAAAAACAGGTTCCCGATATGGATACCATTGAACTTCGAATCCACCGTTGCACCTTCCATTGAACCTTGGTCATTTATTTATAATTTTTCTATGAACATCTGGTAAAGATAAATTTCAACAAAAAAAAGACTCTTTAACCGCATTGACTGTCATAAGAAAAGTTAGTTTGTCGAAAGCATTTTAGTCTCTTATATCGAGGGACCAGTCTAAAATATAAAAGAATAAAACTCGAAAAAGAGGAAGAGGAGAAGACAAGGTTGAAATTCTGTTTGCGCACCACATGTTTCGTATTAAATATTTTCTACCTGTTCTTACCATCATCTTAAAGACGACGAAGAGGAAGAGGTGTTTAACGAAGGCACATGGTAGTCGTCCTTGGTACATAAGATATAGAAAGAAAAAGAAAGACATTGGAACACGGGCCCCACCCAAGGATTGACCACGTAAAAACGATACGACAGGTACTTTTCTTTCCTCCGTTTCAAGATTTTAAACAACATATTGCCAACACGTGTTACTCCAAGTGAACATGATGCACTTTACTTCCAATTCGTAAGGTTGTTCAGAAGGTGTAAGTTGGTACAAAGTGGATATACGAAAGTGTCATAAACGATAAACGACAGAATGATAACAGATGTTTACGTCCCAAGAGATTTCTGTATCGTCTCGAGGATACACTTAGTTTAAAAAAAAAAGTAAAGAAAGAAAAGAGAAAGAGAGAAAAAAGAAAGGAAAAAATATAAACGAAAAAAAAAGAAAAACTTAAATAATAAGTTTTGGATTAATCTTAATCGAGTTACCTTGGATAATTTAATCGGATATATAATAATACGAAGAAGAGATAATAAAAGAACGTACGGTATCTAATTATAACTAAGAATTGTTCATTAAATTACGTGAGATTTTATTTTATAACTAATGTTTCCGTTAAAAAATAACTAGCAATTTTGGTTAGCCAAATCTTTAGGTTTCAACAGATATTTTGGATAGCTTCAATCGAATATGTATTAATACGAAGAAGAAATGATAAACGGTCTTATGGCATCAATTTATAATTATTCATTAAATTTCTTCAAAAAAATAACTAACAGTTTTGATCAGTCATATCTTCAAGTTTCATACAGTTTTTAAGAATTTACAAATTAGCAAATCGAAGATTTACAAACGGAATAAGTCTAGTGAGATTTATACATGTCATAGAAGACCATTTTATTTTCGATTTATTAAAATCAAATCGAAAAATAATGAAGGAATACGATTTTAAATAAATCCCATAAATTTTAAAAATATCCGAGATCCACTAATAATTTTAATTTACAATAATAGTAAGTAGTTCTTTTAAAAATAGGATTGGAATGTTTTTTTACTGAAGGGAAGTAAAACCATTAAAGATCGTCTTTACTTTTGATTTTGTCACCCGTCGCATTTCGATCGTTGGGAAAATCCCTACGGTGTATTTCTCTTTTTCATTCTCTTTGTTTTTTTCTCTCCCTCTCTCTCTCTTTCTTTCTCTCTCTTTCTCTCTCTCTCTCTCTCTCTCTCTCTCTCACAGTTTCTGGTTAGCCAGCTAGGAAGAGTGCGCGTGTGCGTAGGAACCCTCCGATTTCGACTGACCCTGTGCTTCCAAGGGTGGAGCTTAAAATAAGGGTGTTACCGCTCTGGCTTAGCTACCCCGCGAGCAAACGGCATTTTGAGACTGAGGGTGGAGACTGAGAACGGGCAAGGGGTGGAGAAAACGTTTGTGGGATAGAAAGAGAAAGATTGAAATAGTGAGACACTTTACGGAGAGATGTACAACTCTGGTCGAACTACCAAACAGTGTGTCGCCACCGCTGACTACGTTTCGTCAGACACTTTCAAATCCTGACAGTTCCTTCCAATTCCATTATCAAATTATTTCTTTCCCCGCTTCGTCTATTTTGCCTACTTCTTCAAGAGGTGACCAAGTGTTGTTCACACGTACTTTTGAAAAAAGAAAAGAAGAAAGAAGATAGTGAAAAAGAAAAAATTGTCCTTGAGAGTATATCATCGATAATAGAATGGAGTATTCTTTAGACATTTGTGAAATGTGTATCTCGTTAAAGTATCGTCTATGGTGAATCAAAGAAAACAAATAATAATAATAATAATAATAATAATAATAATAATAATAACAATAACAATAACAATAACAATAATAATAATAATAATAATAATAATAATAATAATAATAATAACAATAATATGGCACCAATGATCGAAAATAATAGCAGTGATTCTACCATCGTTATACAAAGTGATCTTTATGTCGAAAGTTGGAAACATAAACAAACAATTCAGAAAGGTATTAACAAATAAATATTAATTAACAACAAATCGAATCAGTGATTATTAATAATGACATCCTTACATAGCAATAAAAAAAATGGAAGAAGAGAGAGTGAGAAAAAACGAAAGAAAAAGAGAGAGTGAGACGCAGCGAGAGAGAGAGAGAGAGAGAGAGAGAAAGAGAGAGAGTGAGAGAGGGAGAGAGAGAGGGAGAGAGAGAGAGGGAATTAGTGAGAGGAAGAGAGATGGAGAGAGAGAAAGAGAAAGAATAGCAATGGCGGCGAAAGAAAAAATGATGCATTATTCAAGGAAAATTTCCATTCGTGAGAAGTTTCGGTAGATAGGTAGCTACATCGTTAGGTTGCTCTCTCGCTGGCGCTTTAATGATGGTTTGCTCCCTTTGCCTTTCGTTCTTGTAACGAGGAGTTTCGACATTGTTACGCCTTCGGAAGGCCACGATATAACGATAGTGAATATATATGTATATATATATACGCACACACACACATACATATGTATACGTATATACATATATGTATATATATATATATATATATATATGTATTCTACTATAAAATCCTCGAAATATTCCATCGTAAGATACGGCAACCTTCTTAACCCATTCGAGACCGCAAATTTTTTCGAACACGATCCCCAAGGTAAAAAATTTTTTTTTTTTCATTATATTGTTCATTTTCAGTAAAAAAACTTGTTTACTATGGAAATCAGCCAATTCGTAAGTCAATTCGTATAAATAAGATGATTGCACATCGTCTGTGCGGTTGGTTCCTGCGAAGAATTTTCTGTATGAGTGAACTGTTACGCGTCGTCGTTGGTGCTCGGTTTTCACGGATAAGGAGACACAGAGTGGTAGGAATGAATTTCTTACTTATTCACGGATAAAGATGGGTCAAAGAAAAGAAAAAATTTATTATCTAAGCCAGCACTTAAGATAATAAGATTTAAGATATTATTTCTTACATGTAAGAAATTCTAAATACGCAGAACCTGCTGGCTTAAGATAATGATTTTCGTTTAGGTGGTATGAATAGAAGGCGATACTATTGATGTTAATGATAGATTTGAAAAATGGAATTAGATATATGGGTTCATGCAATGATATTTCTTAAAATATCATTGATTGAATTGAAATGAGATTTCGAAAATTCAAACAAAACGTTTTGTTTTATTTGGTACAAATGAAAATCAATGATAAATTATGTTTTCGTATATTTTACAGATACTATTAATTAAAAAACAACTTCTATTTAGACGAATATTTTACTCAGAATAATTGAAAATTGCTCATCGTTACTATTGCATCCCGGTGTGCAGCTGGTCTCATAGCCTTGTAAAGGCATTGCACACACGGTATGCAAATGATCTCGAATGGATATTGTAAAAAAGATACAGAAATAAATAAATAAATGAATAAATAAATAAACAAAAAATGACAGAAAAAGAAAAAGATAAATATTTATGGCGTGATTAGATCATTCTTTTTTTAATTAATTAATAATTTATTTGTTTATTTACTTAGTTACATTTTTGTTTATTTCTTTTAATTTCGATGAAAACGACCATCTCGAAGCGTTTCTTTTCAGCAAACAGCCCAACTTCAGATCTTACCTTAGATCTCAGCAATACTCGGCATCATTATCATCATCATCATCGTCATCACCATCACCATCATCATCGACGTAACGACAACCAGAATCAAAACCACAACAACAATAACAGTATTATCAATAACAACAATAAAAATAACAACGATAACAACAACTCCATAAGCCTTGTAACGAGCGAACCTCAAGAAATCGTGATGAAGGAGAAAAGTAAGACAGCGGCCCGATGGCGCCGGGAAAAAGAAAACAAGGAATACCTCGAACTTGGAAAACTTTTACCGCTTCCATCAACGATCACCTCACAATTGGACAAGGCCAGTATCATCAGGCTAACCACTAGCAACCTCAAGATGAGAGCATTATTTCCTCACGGTAAGAATTACTTCGTCACACTTATTTATTTATAGTGTAATGATTTGATAAGAAAAAAGAAAAAAAAATAAAAGAAATGAAACCGACGACTTTTATTATACATTAATTCTCGACGAAAGGAAACACTCCTGCACTCTTTTTATTAATTCACCACTTCTTTTACCGGACAGCTTCCAACGTAAAGGGCAAATAATATCGGATGAGATGGATGTGATTGCGCACTTAATGCATTGTTAGCCCCTACTGCTTTGTAAGCAAAGTATGGGGGCTGTTATAACGTTACAATGGTTCCTACACCGACTCTCTTTTACACTAACACCACAACCAACTGTAAGTGTTAAGTTCTTTCCTTCCTTCTTTCCTTCCTTCCTTCCTTTCTATCTACGTACCTACCTACCTACCTTCCTATCCTCTCTCTTCTCTTTATTCCTATCTACGTACCCACCTACCTACTTTCCTCTCCGCTCTCCTTTCTTCCTTCCTAGCTATCTACCCTACCTACCTTCCTATCTTTCCTCCTCCCTTCCTTCCTATCAACCTATCAACCTACCTTCTTTCCTTCCTTCCTTCCTTCCTTCCTTCCTTCCTTCCTTCTTTCTTTCTTCCTTCCTTCCTTCTTTCTTTCTTTCTTTCCTTGCTTCCTTCTTTCTTTCTTTCTTTCCTTGCTTCCTTCTTTCCCTTTCACCTTCCAATCTTTCCATCCTCGTCTACGGCGAATTGAATTTCAAGTGGCTTCATCCCTCTACAATACAGATGCTTCTTTTATTCTTCAAAAAAGACACGGTATATACCCTTCGATATACGAGCTACAATCTTGTGATCGTTCATGTTTTCTCACATTGATCGAATATTATCATCGTTGATCGTGATAAAGACTGTATCAAAGAAAAAAAAAAAAGAAAAAATAGAAAAGAAATTATTCGATTTGATGTTGCTACGTAGAAATTTAATTTTCAATGATGTCGAGAAAGATCCTATCTCGTCCTCTTCATATTTCTGATGTCCCTCTGATATTGAAAAAAAAAAAAAATAAAAGAGAGCAAAGAATACAAGGGATGTCTTTGGACACAAATGTATAACCTAAACTCGAGTAGTATAGCATTTACGTAATTCATTCGAAATCATGTAGTTTTGGATGTTTTGACATAACAAAAGATGATGACAGAGAAAACAAAAAAGAAAAAGATTTTAATATATTTTTCAGGACTGGGTGACGACTGGGGTACTAGACCACCGCCTAGTAGTCCTTTGGAAGCTGGTATTAAAGAATTAGGATCACTTTTTTTGAAAGTAAATTTTTAATCTATTATCGGTCTTACAAGTCTTGTTATAAAACATTTTTGTTAATCGATATTTCTTTCGATTTTCGTTATGTTGTTTCAGACACTGGACGGTTTCGTATTCGTCGTGACACCCGATGGAAAAATCGTTTATGTTAGTGAAACAGCCAGTGTACACCTAGGAATGTCTCAGGTTAGATGCGTATTATCTTCAATTACCTTAAATATTTTCTTTGTTTTTTATGATACGACAAAATACTAGAGTTAGATACTATGTCTTTTGGAGAATTCAAGGTCATCAATGTTTTTTTTTTCTTCGATTTTGCTAACCTCAGCAATAAATTGAAGATGATATCAATTCGTGGATTCATATGTTCGTTGGTTACATACTTTCTCGACGTTATAAAATTGACATATTTTGAGAATTCTTTTCAAGAAGGGAGTAAAATAAATTGAAAAATTAATTCTGTATTATTACTTGATGTTTTATTTGTATAAAAAACTTTTTCCGTCAAATTTGTAATTTATTACCGCGTTAATCTTTATATACGAAAATTTGGACTCAATGAACAGCATCCTAAATTCCTATAAAAATTTTTATATTATTGAAATTTCAGTACTGTATTAAAAAATAATGTTGTAATTAAGTGCCATCAGCTCGAATTCTTAAATTTCTGACGAATAAAAAAATTATGCCATTTTGAAAAAGTGTCAATTTTTCGTCTAAAATTCAAACTTTTAAACGTATTGGAAAAATATTAAGAATTAAAATTTAAAAAAAAATTAGCAGATGGTCCTCGACTAGAACATTATTTTACAAGACGGTACTGGAATTTTAATAATTTTATGTTTTTACAAGAAGTTAAGCTGCTGCCTGTATTTTCTTGTGGAGATTAACGTGGCTGTAGATTAAAAAACCTATATGTAATCAAATCGAATGGAAAAAATTTTCTTATATAAATAAAACATTAAGAAGCAACGTGAAATTATTAGTATTATAATTTATCTTTTCTCCTTTCTGAAAACAAATTTTCAAAATACGTCATTTTTCGATGAGGAGAACATATGTATCTAATCTCTTAAGAGATCATTGATCTTGAATTTTAAAGAAATATATTGACTTATTTTTGGAGAGAAATTTTCGAATAATTTTATCCTGTATATTTCAAGAATATAACTAATGCATTATTTTCTTTTTCATTTTTTTTATTCAGGTTGAATTGACAGGTAATAATATATACGAATACATTTGTCAGTACGACCACGAAGAGATGTTTTCGGTGTTGAATCTCCCACAAAATCCGGCGGATCTCACCGATTTTATGTTTCCACCTCCGAACTCACGCGGTGAAATCGATCTAGAACGTGTCTTCTTTCTGAGAATGAAATGTATCTTAGCGAAGAGAAGCGCTGGTCTTGTCACGGAAGGATACAAGGTATGAACGAATCAACGTAATTATGACACGTTTTATAAATATTCTATTTTTGTTCTTTAGTGTATTCCGAAAATCTTATAAGATCTTTTCAAGGACAATATTTTCTTGCGTTCACTTCTAATACAATCCAGTATCCATTCTAAAGTTAATACTCTTGCAGAAAACCGTAAAAACTTCGCGAAATACATTATTATCTCTCTTCTTTTTCCTGAAATAAATATTTTTTATAAAATTTTCAAAGTACTAACAACTATGCCGAATCCGATTATAACTTTTAAACCTAACTCTTTTCTTCTAACCCTCTATCGTCATAAATAAAAATAAAGAAAAAAAAACAGAAAGGAAAAGAAAAGAAAAGAGAAGAGAAAAAAGGAAAGGAAAGAAAGAAAAAAAAATTCTTGAAAAAAGAAAAAGAAAAAAGTATCTAAACAATTAACATAACAGAGAAAGAGCATAGTCCTACAGGAAATCATAAAAGTTATATAAAAATTGAAATGCTAAATAAGAGATAAGGGATTGGTGAGCTAAGTAGGGACAGCATTATCTTGGTCACGCGCGATTCGAAAGGAAAACGAACAGGAACCTGGCAGGTAGTTGTCGATGAACTTTGTTCAAATTCGGTCCATTCGGAATGGCAAACGCCAAACGTTCCTACGAAACTATATCAATATAAAAATAATTATTAATAAAATCGATTGATTACCGCAAGCACTGGTGGTCGAAACTGTTATAATTTATTCGAAAAAAACAAAAAAAAGGAAAAGAAAAGAAAAGAGAGAAAAAATGTTTATTTATCTTTCTTTCTTCATTGACTCACGCTTCTTACAATTATTATTTTTTGCTCTTACTATTAGCTTTTTTGTTCTGTTTTTTCTTTTCTTCCTTTTTTTCTTTTTTCTTTTTTACAGAAACAAAACAGACTTCCATCTTAGATGATAAAAGTTAGATTATCATCAGATCCAGTCAATTAATTCATAGGTATATTTGTGGAGGAACACGATCGTCGATCTTTATCAACAACCAAACAGGAATAAATCATGTTAATTCGACGAAACGACTGTTCTCCCCTAAAAGTTTGAATAGGTATAGTTAACAAATAAAGCTAGTATAGTATAGATCATAGACGTATACTTGCGATTACGAATAACTATCTTCTAAATGATAGGAATGTTGATTAAAACAAACAATCAAAAAAGTGTCGGTTAAGTCCTCGAGAAGGAAGAAAATGTTTAGCAAATAGCTCGTCCTCGTATCTAAGCGACGATGATGACCGTAACTCTTGAGAAAATCTCATATATAAAGTTAAAGAGAGAAAACGAGAGAGAGAGAGAGAGAGAGAGAGAGAGAGAAAACGTTCTGGATTTGCTAAGTCATGAATGCGACCCCCGTAAAGCTGTAGGATGAGGTTCGAAAGAGGGGCCAGGAAATGCGAAGAGGGTAGGTTTTTCTATGGCACTTGGACAATACAAAGAACCGGTAGTTGGCTTCTAACCCATTATTTACAAGGATTGTAAGCATTCTATTCTCGTGACCGACAATTATCTATTTATCATTTTAATCGATTTGCCACGAGTTTCAGAGTTTTATCTGTTCATTTATCTATCTATATATTTATTGTTATCTTCGATCTAGGCGATAAATTATGAGATAGGTAGTGATCAATTAGGATCAATTTACTTAGCCTTCAATTCCAGACAAACGGAACATTTCGATCACTTTTTCTCTCTCTCTTTCTCTCTCTCTCTCTCTTTCTCTCTCTCTCTCTCTCTCTCTCTTTCTCTCTCTCTCTTTCTTCCTTTGCTGCCGTAAATAATAATAATAATAATAAAAAAGAAAAAGAAATACTAACGATCACCTATAAAAAAGAATGATCGATAAACTAATCTATATCGATGGAACAATACATCCCAAACTAGTCGTCACACATGCTAGAGAAAATTACGAATAGTTTCTCTCTCTCTCTCTCCTCTCTCTTTTCTATTTCTCTCTTTCTCTCTTTAACTCTTTCTCTCTCAAACATATACACACTCTTTTTCTCTTAGGAAGTTGTAAATGAGTTTGAAGATGGTCGACACCTCGACAGAGTATAAGCCATTGTCCTAATGAATATCGTTTCAAGATCTTTATAAGGATGTGAATCCTGAACGAAATTGAATTTGTTCGTTCGCCCTTCTCAAAACTCATATTCCTTCTCTTTCTTTCTCTCTCCCTCTCTCTCTCTCCCTCCCTCCCTCTCTCTTTCTCCCTCCCTCCCTCTCTCTCTCCCTCCCTCCCTCTCTCTCTCTCTCTCTTTCTCTCTCTGTTCTTCTCCTCTTCATTCTCCATTAACTCGTATCCCCTTAGTAATAGAGAAGAGGATCCTTCGCAGCACGTACATGCTCGTGTGATGCACCAGAATTGCATAGCATATAGTAAACATATGCAATGCGTTAGGTATATAGGGAAAATAGGGTGGTGAAACGAGCCTATTTGCCTCACAAATGTGTTGGCTTGGTTATCAGGGCTTGGTATACCTAGGTACTCGAGACACGAGCAAACCCGAGTTTGACGCTCGACGAATCTTGTTTTTTTTTCTTTCTTTCTTTCTTTTTTATTTCTCCTTTTTTTCTCTTTTCTTCTTTCCTTTTCTTTCCATTACTCATTCGAGCATTCAATTAGTAGGAAGGAATTGGTAATTTGCCAGGAGTACGTTGTTCCACGCGAAAATCCACACTTTGCGCCGACGGTAGGTAGTACTTCGTGTTTCGATCATTGAAAGATGATACATATGCTCGCTCGAGTGCCATACTCGTTCTGGTATCACCAACTGGTATATTTTTGAATAATATATACCGCCCATTAATCTCCTTTCATCGGTATTTCTCGTGATCAATGATACGTAATAACACTTGATGATAATATATGGTTAACGTATGCAATTGGCTTATCATTAATTAGTATTCCTTACTCAAGGAGTAACTTCCATATGCGATCATCTTTATCGTCATCATCGTCATCATCATCGTCGTCATCATCCTCATTCTCATTCTCATCCTCACGTTTGGTAGACGAGAACAATATCTTTCTTCTTACAGGTTATTCATTGTTCGGGTTACCTCAAGTGCATCATTGAAAGTTCAACTGGGTCAGAATACGAAGATGGTGGTACTGCTGGTAGATGCATCAGAAATATTTGTCTCCTAGCCGTCGGCCATTCCTTTCCAACTTCTGCCATTACGGAAATCAAACTTTATAACAATATGTTCATGTTCAGAGCGTCCCTCGATCTCAAGATGATATTCATCGATTCGAAGTAAGAAAACAGCAAGAGCATACAAAAATAAATAAATAAACGAAATAACAAAAAAAAGAAAAAAAAGAAGAGAGAAAGAAGGTATTTCCTCTTTAGAGATGTTCCTTAATAAGAATAAAACCAAACGAAAAAACGTAAAAAACTAAGAAAGAAAGAAAGAAAGAAAAAGAAAAAGAAAAAAGAAAGAAAGAAAGAAAAAGAAAGAAAAAAAATAAGAAAAAAGATCGATCCTTCGTATTTGCCACTTAAAAATTAGCTCGAGTACGTAGAAACGAAGGAGCTGCCATTAGACTGTTTATTTCCAATGTAATTACACTTTGGTATTGGATTACCTCGACGCTTAGTGTTTGGACTGAGAAACGAAAAAAGGGGGAGAACCAAGGTCCTCTCGGTGCCAGCCATTAAAATTAGTTTCGTATTACCGCAGAGAGTCAAGGACCTTTCTTTCTTTTACTCTCTCTCTTTTTTATCGACGCCAAATAAATATCCAACGTCCACCGAGCTTGCACGTAGATATGCGACACTTCTTATTCCTTGGCATATGTATGTATACAGAGTGGCCCATATTAAATGTTACAAACTGTTTTTTCTTCTTTTTTTTTCTTTCTTTTCTATTTCTTTCTTTCTTCGCTCGCTGTTAGAAATATCAAATTGAATTAAATAAAACTGAATAATATGTACATAATACAAAACAGATTAAATAATTAAACTAGTTAGTATATGAGACTAGGTTTTTTTATTTATAACTCTCTCTGCCTAATATAATGAAGAATCCTTTTTCTTCCCAATTTCTTTATATATATATATATATATATATATATATATATATATATATATATATATATATATATTGATTCAACATACAATATGTACTCTCTTTGATATCCCAAATCAAATTAAATGAAAAAGAAAATGAAAAAAGAAAAAGAACAAATAATGTCAATCTATCTCTAACAGTGGCAAAGATAACAGCTTTTGTAACACTTTATATGGGATATCCTATAGCCTATCTACATACGCATGTACCTATGTATGTACGTATATACTGGGAACGAACACGTGACAAAGTAGAAACTATAGACGCACCAGTATATTGCAATGAAATTTTATACGATTTCGTTTTCTTTTTTTAGTCGATAACAACAGAAAAAAAAGGAGAAGGAAAAAAGCAAAAAATAAAAAAATAAAGAAAAAAGCGATGCTACGAGAAAACATTCATGGATTTAGATATTCTTTTTCTTTTTTTATTTTCTTTTCTCTCTCTTTCTCTTTTTCTCGCATACATACAAACATACACTCATACACACACACACACACGCACACACATAAACGAACTTGATAAGTATATACATTATAAACATAGTCGTATATCTTTATTACAGCGCAACGAATTTAACAGGGTACCAACCACAGGATCTCATCGAGAAAACTCTCTATCATTATGTACATGGAAGCGACGCGTTGCACTTGAAACAAGCACACCGAGTTCGTAAGTACAAAGAAATTTTTTTTTGTGTGCTCCATTCCCTTCTCTCTCTCTCTCTGTCTCTCTTTCTTTCTATCTATATATCTTTTTTGGTAGCACATCCTCATTGTAGATATATAGTTTTCTTACCTTCCTTATTTTCCTATTCATCCTCAATGAATTAACTCATCGACGTTCTCCCGACACCCACTTGACGGACATAGACTAGCTTTGATCTTTCCCTTCTTTCTCTTTCTTTCTCTCTTTCTCTCTCTCTCTTTTTCTCTCTCTCTCTCTCTCTCTCTCTTTCATTTTTTTTTCTTAAGCAAACGAGCTACTGGAGTTAGCTATATACCTTCTCCTCTCCTATGTCTACCACACGAATAGATGATTTTTATAGGACACGGAGAAACAAGTGTGTGAATCGTATGCCTTACACGTAGGCACATGTATATTATCGATCGAATGTGCAGAGTAGTAGATGGTAGTGGTAGTGGTACTAGAGGTACTTGGAGAAGAGAGAGAGAGAGAGAGAGAGAGAAAAAGAGAGAAAGAGAGAGAGAGTGATAGAGAAAGGAGGGTGGCACAAGCGGATGAGGTAGTGGTTACTGCTATCACTGTTTGAACAGACTCGCAGTTTCACGAGCAAGAGAAAGAGAGACAAACAGATGGGAACAGGGGAATGGCGGGAACGAGGACGGGACTGTTGGAGGATGAAGGGTGGGGGGAGCGAATGGTTGAAGGGGACAAGGAGGTAGTCTGACATAATGCCACCAACACCGATGCCTACTTGTCTGCCACAAAACCTGTCTACTATTCTCACGGAACGTTTTCCTTTCAGCTCTCTTTGTCCCCTAATGAGTTTTAGCATATGCTGTTCTTGAATCGTTCTTGGTTATGCGAATGTGAAATAATATCTAATTTTTGTTGTTGTTATTTTTTTTTTTACTTTTTTTCTTTTCTTTTTATTGTCGTTGTTATTATTGAATTTCTTTATCTTTTCTTTCCTCTTTCCTCTTTCCTCTTCTTCTTCTTCTTCTTCTTCTTCTTCTTCTTCTTCTTCTTCTTCTTCTTCTTCTTCTTCTTCTTCTTCTTCTTCTTCTTTTTTTCTTCTTCTTCTTCTTCTTCTTCTTCTTCTTCTTCTTCTTCTTCTTACAGTATTACGAAAGGGTCAAGTAACAACGAAGTACTACAGATTTCTAACGAAATTGGGCGGTTGGGTGTGGATGCAATCATATGCCACGGTCGTTCATAATACAAGAAGCTCAAGGCCTCATTGCATCGTCTCAGTGAATTATATTTTAACAGAGATTGAAAACATGGGACTGGTGTTGAATTGCGTCGAGGGACCTTGTTCGACAAGTCCTGGAAACCCATCTAGCACGGCCTTAACTACTCCAACAACAAGTGCTAATACAAACAAATTGGAAAATCACAGTCCAAGTTCGCCGTCCTTTCGTGGAAGAGTTAAGGAATCACCAGATACAGATTATACAGACAGTTCTGGTTATTCTGGCACAGAATTTATAGCCTGTTCTACAAATTACAGTCACTTTCTTTCGTCTCCTTATGCTGTTAATGGACCGATGCTCGAAGATGGTACTTATTACAATACCGAAGTTTTTCATTTGTATGGAGGTAAGGGGATGTATCTAGAAGAAAAATATCAAACAAATGAGTTTGTAATCCGTACCTTTCTCTCTGTCCAGATATAAATCACGATCCACTTACCACGGTACCACCACCGCCACAACAACAACAACAACAACAGCAACAACAACAACAACAACAACAACAACAACAACAACAAGAAACACATCATCATCAAATACAAAGTAATCAACAGAGGAGGCCATATTCTACGTCATCCAGTTCTTGCGGTAGCACTGATGCTATGGATAATCATTTACCTAGTCCAATCGGTTTACATTCTATTCCGTCGGGATATCATCCTCCTCCTCCTGCACCTCATCCATCTCATCATCATCCTCATCATCATCATCATCATCATCATCACCATCATCACAATCAGCATCAGCTTGCAGACTCGACCTCGTCAAGCATCACGGAAACAGGTGGCAGTGTCATCATGTATTCTGATTGTGGCTTTGATAACAACGACGTTTACAATGGTGTACCAACAACTCCGACGACCCTTCAACATCACGATACCTCTTATCAATCACAAAGAAATACAAACGGAACTGCTGGTAGCAATGTTAAACAACAGGCCCAACATCATCACCATATCGAACAATCGACCGCTGGTTACACAAGTGTTATCGTCGACTCTCAACAATACAGTCCAAATCCTACGCAAGATCTTCATCCCCATGCTCATCATCAGGCTGTCACATCGAGTGGTAGCACGTCTCCTCTAGTAACGCATCATCAGCATTATTACGAAACGCATCACCAATTCGTTCACTGACACCAAACGATGATGCGAGTAATGCTTGTCGTCGAGACATCAACAAGCTTACGAATTCAATGATTCTAGGAACCAATGATTATCCTGCAATTTTATTGCGATTTAATCTGGCTCTTTCGAAGTATAATGAATGTAAGGAATGAACAGAAAAAGAAATATTAATACTAATAATAATAATAATAATAATAATAATAATAATAATATTAGTACTAATAATAATAATTATAATAATTTAAAAAAGAATAAAATAAAAACACTCACACATATATACGCCTATTTGCGCGCATACACACACGCATACACACACAATAATAATAGAAATAATAATAATAATAATAATAATAATAATAATAATAATAATAATAATAATAATAATAATAATAATAATAATAATAATAATAATAATAATAATAGTAATAATAATAGTAATAGTAATAATAATAGTAATAGTAATAATAATAGTAATAATAATAGTAATAATAATAATAATAATAATATTAATAATAATAATAATAATAATAATAATAATAATAATAATAATAATAATAATAATAATAACAACAATAATAACGATAATAATAAAAATAATAATAATTAAAATAATTTAAAAAAGAATAATGAAGTAAAAACACTCACAAACATTTACACGTGCTCACATAAAAAAAACACACATATACACAATAATAATAGTAGTAGTAATAATAGTAATAATAATAATAATAATAATAATAATAATAATAATAATAATAATAATAATAATGGAAACGAAAGTTTCGAAAGAAGACATCACTAGATTCGGTTTCGGTCGATGTATCAATTCGAAAGACTGTCAGTAATGTAAATTTTTTCGAAATGCGCGATCATTTATATCGACATATCAAGTGAGATCGATCGTCACGACGAATTCTTTGTTTTCTTCTCGTTCTACGATAAATTGCCCTGCGTTACAATTTATTCCTGTCTTTCTAGTGAGTCTAACAAAAACAAAACAAAAAAAAACAGAAAGAGAAAAAAGAAAAAGAAACGAGAAACATACTTCGCTAATACGCATTGGAAATTCTTTTTTCAAGTATAAAAGTCTCTTAATATCGTCGATAGAATAATTTTATGTAATTAGGTTAATAATATCTTTCCCTTTGTCTCTGCTCGATCAGTCGTCTGCATACATACATAGATACATACATATATATTAGGGGGGACCGGAAAGTAATGTCGTTTCTGCGCATGTCGATATTTGATTGTGATTAAAAATAAAAACTTATCAAAAATTTATTCGTTTGAATTTAATTTAAGAAAGCGACATTACTTTCCGGTCCCCCTAATACATATATACATATATACATATATACATACATACATACACACATACTTTCTCTTCTATATAATTTAAACGTCCTTCACGTAATATCGATCTCAAGAATTATATTGAGAACAAAAATCCATTCAAAATTTTGTAAGAAAAATATTTTAGAAATGAAAAAAAAGTAAAAAAAAAAATGAAAAGAAAAAAAGAAAAAGAAGAAGAAAAGGATTAAACGGAAAAAATGAAAAGGAAAAAAAAGAAACAATGATATGCTTAAGTCACGCTGGACGTGAGCAGTACGTATTTTCCCCCTCATGGTAGTATATTAAATGAATAATATAATGAAGATGATATCGAGTTGAACAAGGGATCGATAGTATCCAAGATCGAGCATTACAGATATAGCGTTGCGCATTGCTCGTTCTCATCGTCGTTATAAATGTAAATATAAAGTGATCGGTCCCAAATCGTAGTAACGTGTACATAACATTTAAACTATGTTAATAATTAATTAATTGATTAATTGATTGATTGATCGCTAACAGAACTATCGAATTTGCTAAAATCAGATGTAAATAGTTATTTCTTACATAGATCCGAAGACTGACCGGTGCTTGTGCCAACCGACCAAAGAGATATGCCCTTCTTAATAAAAAGAAAAAAAAGAAAGAAAAAGAGAAAGAGAGAGAGAGAGAGAGAGAGAGAGAGAGAGAGCGAGAGAGAGAGAGAAAGAGAGAGAGAGAGAGAGAAAGAAACAAAGAATGAAAGAAAGAAAGAAAGAAAGAAAAAAAAAGAAAAAAAAATAAGAAAGAAAGAAAATAACAATCATGTTATTAATTTATTTAACATTTCGTCTGAATCCCCTTTTTTCAGAGCTACTAATTGAGCCGATTATTTAAGAAAATGGGCTAACAAAACAAAATATTCTTTTCTTTTTTTTCTCTTCCTCTTCTTTTTTCCATACGAATTTACACGCATGATATATGAACTGAACAAATGTTATTAGATTTCTTTTAAAACTTTTCGAGCCCCTTTCGTAATTAATGGCACAATTATCCTCCATTATTTTCTCAATTTATCGATAATAATAATCTGTCTTAATTCTATTATTTTTTCTTTGTTTTCTTTCTTTTTGATTCGTTTTTGTGTTCTCTTCGGTCTTTATTCTCGTACCAATTCTCTTTTTGTTTTAGTTCCAAGTCTCGTCTCCGATTGTTTGAATAAAAACGAAGAAATCTCCTGGTGATTCTTCTGTTTTTCTTTTTTTTAATGCTTCTTATACAGACGATACGAGGACCAATTGTCATCCCGTACGAACAATAAATTAATTGTTCTCGGGATAGAAATTCTCGGCTTGGCTTTCGACGGTCGCGTGCTTGAACGCCAGGGGTCCCTTCGTCAAGGCTGGCACGTGGCTGTTTATAATCACCCTTCCTCCCTCCCCCCATCTAACCCATCGACCTCAACCCCCTCCCCTGCTCTTCTCTTTCCCTCGAACTTTACAGTGTATCACCGAAAAACGTCGTGAATATCTTTCCAGTTCTCGTCGTTTTATAAACGTCATCTTTAGTATCGTCATCGTCAAACGCGTTTAATTGCTCGTAAATCTCGATCTAGAGATAAAGAAAGTGAGATGGAGAGAGAACCTTGGGGAGAGGGGTGAAGGGAAGAAGTACAAGGGTCCTTTGAGACGAGGAAACCTTTTGTTCGTAGAAGTGACGTAAAATTACTAATAAAGTCACTAAGGGAGGATATGAGAATTTTTCTTCTATCTTTCGATTTTATTTAAGAAAAACGCGGTATGAAAGAGATATTAAAAAATGAAAAATAATGGAGATTAGTTACGTTGTATGTTTGTTTTAAAAGATATGTAATATAGGTGATAAGTATAAAGGATTACAAAATTTTCGTCTTCTTTTTCTTTAAAGCATAATTTCCACATAAAGCGTTCAAATTTAATCGCTTTAAGTATTGCAGACATTTTTGTTTTTTTTTGTTTTAATGAACCACACAAAGTTTTACGGATTGATATCTCTGTTTTTAAAACGGCTCATAGTAAAATGTTACGAATTGGTTCTTTATCAAAATAAAAAAAAATAAAAAAAGAAGAAGCAAAAAATTCATCGAACATGTTTATCATTGTTTAATTATGCAAATTTAAAATTATTTAATCATGAAAAAAAAAGAAAAAGTAAACTGAATGAAATTTTACAAGTCCTTCAGTTGTCAGGAAAGAATCTTGCTTTATTTTATTTCTTTTTGTCCTTTTTTTATTAGAAACGAGAAGACGAAAAAAGGAAAGAAAAAGAGAAAGTAAATAAATAGATATTCGAGTATAGTGTTGTCAAGAGAGAAAAAACAAAAAAGTGGTAGAGGGAAAGAGGCGTGAAGAGGGATATGGTAGATCGGATACACAACGGGAAGGGAGGGGGTTATGGTTTCTATTATAAGGACGTGTGTGACGGAGAGAGGAGGGATCGATTGTGGGCCGCGTGCGGCTCGTTAAATCGTTCGCAAACCCAGATGAATAGGAGGGACACGTAGCTGAGATTCTGTGAAATTGTGCGATCACTCGTTATAGAAATCACCAAGAGAGGATGATTGCCCGAGGCCAACCTAACTGGCGTATCTCACATCATCAAAGAAAGCTCAATCATATATATATATATATTTTATTTTGAAAAATTCAACATAATTTTTTTAGTTAACCGGCGATAAATCTTATTATTTATGTCTTTCTATAAACGTTGAATATCAAAGATCTGATTACGGATTACCAAAATAGTGTCAGATGTGGAAAATTTGGCCTTGTTTATCTTCGACAATAAATCGTTCTATACGAATTCTGGAAAAGTGGGGTAATCAAAAGGGACCACCAGTTGGATGAAAGTGGGATAAAGCTGGAGAAAAGAGACGAGTGTTACTACGATTTAGAGACAGAAAAAGTAGGGCGTCAAGGATTAATATAAATACACTTGATGGCCGGCAATTTCGCCAAGTACGCCATTGACTAATGAATTATTTGGTATATATATATATATATATATATATATATATATATATATATATGTGTATAATAAATAATATATATAATATAGTATGTATATATATGTTATATATATAGTATATAATAATAATAATAATAATAATAATAATAATAATAATAATAATATATATATAAAATATATATGTATACATATAGATTTTGTTTATTTTTTTCAAATAAAATTAAAAAAATATGTGCAAGATGAAAAATTCACATGCATGATGAACAAATATCGTGTCTTTTTCTTCTTTTTTTTTATTATTATTATTTAATTTAAATCGACGAACCTGTATTTATCTTCTTACGTTATCGAGAAAATTTTTTTTCCTTTTTACATATGTTGGACGCGTTCATAAAAATATAAAACTCGAAATACTTGAATATAAATTAACATACGTATGTCTCTGTTCTTTTCGCTATACATATTTTTAGATATAAAAAAAGTAATATATACTACTTAAACAAATTTTTAGATTAATTTCCCCTTTGTAATTGTTAGAGAATTAAAAAATTTTAAACATAAACATAGAATCCTACTGCGACGGTTGGCAATGGTTGAGAATCACTGATCTAGAAAAAATATCTGAAACAAAAATGGTTTCTACTTTCGAGATTGAACTCTACCATGGTACGTATTAAATTGTGTCGAGTAATAGATAAATCTGTATACCTCTATTTTTTTTTTATTTTTTTTTATGACTACGAACGAGCAAAAATCGTCAATTCGATAATTCGATTTGTTCTCCTAGGTTGCTACGTCAAAGAATAACAATATTTAGTCAGTATCGTACACGTGTCGAAAGAATAACATATGCGTTGAAATTGGGAGGGACGAGAATAAGAACCACGTAGAAAATGATGCGTTATCCGTAAGGATTAAGACCATAAAGGCAAACGATTTCAGAAGGGTGACGGGTACACTATCCGAATAAACTAAACGATTACAGGTTGATGGCACAAACGCCGTGGAATAATACTTGAAACGAAGTGTGCAAAGAACGTTTGTCAGAGATTTGTAAGAATATCCTACGTGAAAATAATTTGCAATTACGTCCTGGAAAAACAAAAACTTAAAGAACGCGTGCCATCTCGTTTAATCTCGTTTCTTTATCTTTGTTATTTGTGATAATACGTTTTATAATACGAAAAATCTCTGTACATTTAGTTTTTATCGTTTTTTTTTTTTTATAATCATCCTTAAATATTTAATAACAATTAAACAAACGAATTTTTATACAAACGCATGTTTTTCTACCTTAAATAATACAAGCAATCAAATGATTTTCTTTTTTAGATAATTCTTTTTTGTGATTAGAGAGGATTCTAAAAATATATAGATATTTTTTTTTATTTTGCATTTTTTTAAATAATTTTTTAAATACGCTTTCTATATTTATGTTTAATTGCGTATGCAAAAATATATTGCATATTTTATTTGCCCTGAATATGCATGAAAGTGTTTGTACATTAAGAATCATTTAAACACCTTACATCATAATAAAAACGTAATAAAAAAATTTGAAAACGTAGACATAATATTAAATGATTCAATCGAAATATATAATACATGATATATAGTATGTAATATGTAATATATAATATATAATATATAATATATAATGTATAATATATAATATATAATATATAATATATAATATATAATATATAATATATAATATATAATATATAATATATAATATATAATATAATTATCGTAATCCATTAAAATTTATATTCCTAGATATTGCTAATGATTTCGGAGAAAAAAAGAAAATTAAAAGAGAAGTAAATGATATTTTGAAAAAGAATGTAGGATTTATCGAATCATAAAAAATTTCAAATATTTCAAGGGAACCAGAGAAAAATCTGAAATTAATAAAAATTCCCTTGCATTTAATTATTTATGACAAATAAATATAAACCATTTGTTTCTTTTGAAGGGTATCGATAACTATAATATTATAAAATAAGAAAATCCACCGAGAATCATTCCAAGGTCATTATTATCAGCGTTTCAACATAATAAAAAATAAACTATGTAAAATTCAATTTTACCATGATTCCAATCGAATTAATGATGATTTCAAAAAATCCTAATGATATTTATTTTCCTTAAACTTCCCTTTATTAATTATACCTGAAAAATTTTTAATGGAAATAAAACTAACAAAATGACATTCAAAAAACAAAAAAATTTCAAAAAGAAATTCGAATTGTTTGTTAGTATAAAATCGTGAAAATATATTATCTTCAATCTGATTTCAGATATAATTAATGCGCCATAATGTTTTAGAACTCATCTATAAATTTCAAGTTGATATCTCCAGCAATTCTCGTAACAACGACCATAAAATTATTAAACAATGTAATTTCGAGAAGGTTGCATTCATAGTTTTGATATAATATTTATGATGAAGCGGCTATACTTAAACGATTTGAAAATTTCCCGTAGCTGAAGATGCTTACTATTCTATTGTATAATTTATGAGCGAAAATATATTACAAAGAAAATGTGTAAAAGATCAATTAAAGCTTAAAATTTTCATAAAGTCAAACGGAAAAATATTCTTAAAGGATTTTACTATCGCAATATGTGAAAAAGCAAACTTTTTTGAAATTTCAAATCATCCTAATCCTCTTTCTTGTGGAAGATCCAATACCAAAAACATCTTTTTATGATCGTACTAAGAAATGTATTCGTATATATTGTTACGTGTCAATTCAACCTGAATAAAAAAAATGAAAAAGAAAATAATGCATTAGTTATATTCTTGAAATATACAGGATAAAATTATTCGAAAATTTCTCTCCAAAAATAAGTCAATATATTTCTTTAAAATTCAAGATCAATGATCTCTTAAGAGATTAGATACATATGTTCTCCTCGTCGAAAAATGACGTATTTTGAAAATTTGTTTTCAGAAAGGAGAAAAGATAAATTATAATACTAATAATTTCACGTTGCTTCTTAATGTTTTATTTATATAAGAAAATTTTTTCCATTCGATTTGATTATATATAGGTTTTTTAATCTACAGCCACGTTAATCTCCACAAGAAAATACAGGCAGCAGCTTAACTTCTTGTAAAAACATAAAATTATTAAAATTCCAGTACCGTCTTGTAAAATAATGTTCTAGTCGAGGACCATCTGCTAATTTTTTTTTAAATTTTAATTCTTAATATTTTTCCAATAAGTTTAAAAGTTTGAATTTTAGACGAAAAATTGACACTTTTCCAAAATGGCATAATTTTTTTATTCGTCAGAAATTTAAGAATTCGAGCTGATGGCACTTAATTATAACATTATTTTTTAATACAGTACTGAAATTTCAATAATATAAAAATTTTTATAGGAATTTAGGATGCTGTTCATTGAGTCCAAATTTTCGTATATAAAGATTGACGCGGTAATAAATTACAAATTTGACGGAAAAAGTTTTTTATACAAATAAAACATCAAGTAATAATACAGAATTAATTTTTCAATTTATTTTACTCCCTTCTTGAAAAGAATTCTCAAAATATGTCAATTTTATAACGTCGAGAAAGTATGTAACCAACGAACATATGAATCCACGAATTGATATCATCTTCATTTTATTGCTGAGGTTAGCAAAATCGAAGAAAAAAAAAACATTGATGACCTTGAATTCTCCAAAAGACATAGTATCTAACTCTAGTATTTTGTCGTATCATAAAAAACAAAGAAAATATTTAAGGAAATCGAAGATAATACGCATCTAACTTGAGACATTCCTAAATGTACACTGGCTGTTTCACTAACGTAGATAATTTTTCCGTAGGGTGTCACGACGAATACGAAATCATCCAAAGTCTAAAATAACATAACGAAAATCGAAAAAAATATCGATTAACAACAATTTTTTATAACAATATGGACAAGTCGATAATACATTAGGAACTTATATTTAAAAAAACTCTTTAATGTCAGCATTGAAAGAACATAAACAGATTGTCTTTATTATTCTGTCATGTTTCATTCTATTATTGAGATTAGAAACAAAGAACATCAAATTTTTAAAAAAGGCTCATGATTTATTTTAACACGAACTATAATGCATTAGTATTATTGCGAAAATATAGGTTATGTGTGTATATATATTATGTGGTGGAGTGTGTATGTGTATGTGTATGTATATATATAGTGAGTATTGTATAACACATTAATACATTGCTTATTACATTATATATAATATATACATATTTTACATATTTTTAGAGCATATT